GTAGCTCTGGACATAATTGTGCCTATTTCCCATTATTTTCTTTGGGAAAAAATACAATCATTAAGTTTTCTTAGCTTCATCTAAACTTTGACACTTTTCTCTGTTTTTCTTATTGCTAAACAGCTGAAAAGTAAATTTTCAGTTGGCTAAGGAATTTTATACAACATTATTTTAAAAATGATCTTTCTCTTTAAGTTTATTTTCTCTGATTATGTGGCCTTGAAAATATACATCTGAATTTCATAAAATGAATTGATCTTTTGAATAGAGTTAATTTTTAATGTGATTAAGATAGTTTCTTTCTATAAACCTTATTATATTCAATCTAAATTCAAAGGTGGTTGTGGTCCATTGCCAAAGTATATTCCAAATCCACCTTCTCCATCCCATATCAACAGCCCCTCTTTAGTCCAAACCTCCTAAGCTGCTTTAGTGCTTTCAGTCTGGTCTCCTTGCTTCCTTGTCTGAGTTCCTAAAACAACATTCTCCAAAGAAACACCCAAGATGATCTTAAAAAAATAAAAATAAAAATAAAAATCTGCATGATACCATCTCCTTTGAACAAAATTATCTGATAGATTTCCCTGCAATTAAAATAGAAGGAAAACATTCTTTTATGTTCTATAAGAACATCTGAATTTTGTCCTGCTATATGATTCTTCTTCTTACTCTATATACCCTAGACAAAGTAGCTACTCTCTTCTCATTGTATATTTCACAGTTAGGTCTTTGATTTGGAGTACTTTAACACTGTGTATTTGCATGGTTATTATGCCCTTTTGCAAGTTTCAATACAGATTTATTTAGAGATGTTGCCTGACATCTTTAACTGTAAATATCATGTATCTCCCCTTAGCTCATTGACCTTACAATTTATTTCATCTTAGTAATATATTTGTAGTTTCAAAATTATCTTGCCTTTAGAGATTGTACATTTTCCATAATGTTAACAACTAAAACTCCAGTGACTAACAAAATTTTTGATATATATTAGATATTCAAATTACTTTAAGGGTCAATTTAAGGATTTAATATTCAGTTAAACACAACATTATTGCAATATGCATTTTTGTACAGAATCTGTGGAAGTTGGTATTTATTTCACAGATACGGTAAGTGAGATAAATACCTAAGACCCTTCCTGAAAAGGCATATGACTTTATATAATTCCCCTTGAGAGAGGACAAAACCAGAGTTTATGATGAGATATGACATCATTGATTAGATTATGTCATAATGGGCAATGGTAAAAAGGAATTTTTCAGATAATACTCTAATCAGTTCACATTTAGTTAATAAAAGAGCAGATAGTCCTGGTGGGCCTGATCTAATCAGATGAATTCAAAGGAGACTGAAAGCAATAACAGAAGCCCTCTTTTCAGCCTCATAGAAGTAAAATATGTTGTGGAGAGGGTTAAGTTACAGGGAACATTTGATGTCGAAGGCTGTGAACAATCCTAAAACCATATGTGGCTGATGCAAATTCAAAATGGCACAGTTACTTTGGAAGACACTCTGGAACTTCTTCACCAGGGGAGGAATATACTTACAAAATACCCCACACTATGTATGTACTGCTAAGAATTGAAGACACATGTCCACACAAAACCTACATAGAATTGGTCATGGACACATTATTTATAGTAACAATAATGGAAACAACCCAGATATCCATCAACTGGTACATAGGTAAAAGAAATGTATATGCCATAGAATATTATTTGTCAGTAAAAAGGAATGAAGAACTTACAAATGCTACAACATAGATGTAATATTAAAAGTGACATAAATGTCACTTTTAATTGTGACATTTTTCAGAGTTTATACAGAATGAAAATCTTTTTAACCTTAGGAAGTTTGAGCAATCACCTAATTAAAGATTTGCAAACATCCTTCTTACAAAATGTATGTGAAAATATAACTGAAAGAATATGATTATTAAAGGTCACAAACTTTAAGATTCCATTTTTGTGATAACAGAATAAGCAATTTCATGGAAATGCAGAGTAGAATAGCTTTTGTCTATATCTAGGGGTGAGAGGCAAGTATAGTGACTGGTAAAACATCTGGGATTTTTTTTGTTGTTTGTATGTGTGATAAAAATGTTTAAAATCAATTGGGCTGATAGCTAGTCACTATTTTGTCAATATACTAAAACCATTGAATTACAGTCTTTAAAAGGTAAATTGTAGGGTAGGTAAATTATTTCAATTGATCACAGAATAAGCCATGTACCAAAATTAGTGGTTTAAAGCATGTTGTGTGATATCTTTCTCATGTAATACACCTGAGAAGAGTCATTTAAGTCTGTGGGCTGGTTCTACTTCATGTATATGTGCCCTACAGCTCATTCAAATGTCCAGATTTCTTCCATTTTTATTTTTTTCCATTCCCAAGATCATTGTACTTTTACTTATTATGCTCAAACCCTATTCGTGAAGGCACTAGTTGAAGTATGGGATTTATCTCCTAAATTCAGAATAACACACGGGCAGAGTGAAGAATACATACCATCCCCTAATCTATTACCTTTATACATTCCATCTTTAAGCCTTAAATGAAATAATGAGGTTTATTTTATATAAAGAAATCTTATTCTCTAAACCATTTACTGCCTAAAATAGTTGTGAATACACTTAAAAAAAGTAATGTTATATCTTTTGTGAGCTAGAAATTTGAGGTGAATAAAAATCTTGTATTTTGGTAGGATGATTTTTTTATTACACTGAATTCTGTTAGAAATTTGAATTAAAGTCATTCAAGTATAAAAAACTACCTCAATTTGATATTTGAATTTCACATCGTTTTCTTCACAACGAGTAACAAAGATGTTAAATGTCAGTTATGTTCCTGAGACTTTTTACTTCACTTTTAATTGTGACATTTTTCAGAGTTTATGCAGAATGAAAATCTTTTTAACCTTAGGAAGTTTGAGCAATCACCTAATTAAAGATTTCCAAACATGCCTTATACTTCTACAGTCCAGCTTTTATTTCAGTAATGTTGAAAAGTTCGTCTTTCCTGTGAGGTATAACCCAGAGAGTGAGACCATCCTTCTTACACACAAAATGTATGTGAAGCTCAAACATAAGTGAAGCTCTTTCAATTTTTCTCTTTTTGTGAAAGCAATATGCTCCCTGGTAAGTAGAAGTAAGGATAAAAGTATAAAATTTGTGTTTGGGTCTTCTAAAACATCAGCATCCCCTTTATGTGTTTGTGGGTTGAATGAGTTTGTATGAACTTCCATCTTGATAAAGTCGATTCATACCTGATTAGGTAGACAATGCATTTTTCTGTTGAAAATGTATTAGAGAATAGTCTACAACCACAAAAAATTGGAAGTAGGAGTCAAAGTTAAGTCTTCTTCAGGTAATATACAAAGAACAGCAATGAAAACTTTGCCCAGAAATTTTTCAGAAGTTTTGCTTCATAATAACTAGAAAACTTTAAAGATTTTAAAGATAGTACATTCTATTACTTTTGTAGTCGCAGTTCAAGAATGTACTTAAAATTAAAATGTAAAATCCTTAAGGAAAGTAATGCAAAATGGTATTACCCTTAGAAAATGCCTCTGTTTCCAGCCTACATCACTGAAGAATAGTGCATTTGGTGGGCTTTTCAAATTACTGTACTGAAAGCACATCACCTCTCAAGTCATAGATGAGACTTCAGTTCTAGAAAAATGAATTCTAACTATAATTGCCTCATACTCAAGAATACTAGAACTCATATTAAAAAAACCTTATTTTTGCAGTTTGGGGTCCTTTCTAGAAAACTGAATAAGAAGTTGAAGAGTATAAGAAGAAAATATGTTCAGTGATTCTTTTTGTAGAGTTAAGCTTTGATTTCTTTTTTTTTGTATTAGACTTATCAGAAAACTTGTAAGTTCACCATTATTTTTCAGCACTGTTACATAATAAAGAATTAAGCCCCAAAGAATATTATTTAGACTAGCTCATAACTTTATACCAAATAAGTAGCAGAATTTTAATTCAACCTCACACTTTCTGTTATCAATTTCTATTTGAATAATGAGACTGACATAACTGCTGCTCATTATACAAGCACAGAAACCTCTCGTAGGAAAGAGTAGAGGAACACAGGCAATATATCATCCCAAACATTTGCAGATAGGTTAGCTTTACAAGAAAAAAGGCTCCAGGATGATAATAACTGAGATATGCTTGTTCTCTCTACAAGGACAGAGGGTGAAGGTACTTCATAAGTAAATTTAGCTATAGCAACTTGGCATTTCAAATATATTACAAATGCAATTGTTCGGGAAGAAGATTTTTCTCAAAAGAAATATATATATATATGGCTTGTGTTTTTGAATATTCAGTTTTTTTCCCCCTCCACAAAAACCCTTTGCATACTCCATCCATACTCCTTTGAGCAGTGCATGGTTAGAAATCAAATCATACATACATGGTCACTGGATTTATTTAGATTCTCTTGGTGACAAGTAGGAGCCAAGGGTTCAGGCAGTGCAACTAGCGTGTGCATTCAGGTTTCTTGGGTATCAGAGAGCGCATAGCAGTGAGGACTATGGTGCTGCCTGTCAAATGCTTTCATTTGTCGAATGGAACTTTGGGTGGGTGTTTTGGAGAGATTTATGGGATTTAGGATGAAGGTAGGCAGAAAATCACTTTTGGAGCCTGAGGTTTGAAAGAGGAATATCACATGCACATGGGAGGCCTAGGGCTGAGAATTAGCTGTACATGTTATCTATTGTGAGTTCATAAAAGAAAAAGTGACTGCTGCACTAGAAACCTTGAGCATCCAATGCTGAGGATCTACCAAAGAATACCCTTACATCATATGTGACTTCAGTTACACATCATAACACTTGGTTAAAATATTCCACATCTCTACATATGCTAAAAAGAATTTTTTATTCTTTAAGGATTTTAATTGCTGTGGGAGGGGGTGTAGAAAGTACAGATTGGCATCTAGAGGTTGCTGGATGATTCCAGGCCAGGATCTGCAAGTGATCAGCAAAACATCAGGAATGCGGCAAAAATCTGCATGGTATCCTTGCACAGGGGCTGTGCAAATCTTCTCTGTATTGTTCCCATTTTAGTATATGTCTGCTGTAGGCAGCACTCTGGAGAATAATTTGAGTGAGAGTAATCACAGAAATTTTCAGAGGATAATAATAAGACTAGTCTCTGAAAAACTGGAGAAATTTCAAGTTCAGGGCTGGTAAGGAGAAGAAGCCTTGGAAAAGACAACCAGTTTTCAGTTAAGATTCCAGAAAAGATAAATAGTAGGAGAAATAGTAAGCCAGAAATACAACACAGTCACAAAATACTAAAACAAATGTCATCTCAAATCAGATCACTACCTAACTGGACAAATTGATCTGCTTCTGTTTATATTGCCTGACAGAAAGCCAAACTTTTCTAGAGACTCAATTTAGTTCTTAAATTCTTTATATGTAATCTTTGGCATTAGCACAAATTTATATCTGTAAGCCAGGAGAAAGGATAAAAGATGAATGGAAATAAGAAAGAGAACAAGAGATCAAAGACGGCACAGCCAAAAGTGATCATAGCCATAGAAACAGCCAAAGATGATCCAGGTATTGAAATTGTCAAATCAATGTTTTTGTAAGGCTTATTATCATATTGGTCTCTTGAGAAAATAAGATGATTAAGCTGAAATAGAGGTCAGTATGCAAGAATAAAAGCATACTGCTCACACAAGTGCAAAAAACATTAAAACATATAACTAAATTATAGAAGGAGAGAATGAGTAATACATTTGAAGACACAATGTCAAATAATTTTTGAAAACGGCACCAATCATAAAATCACTGATTAAAGATGTTCTAGGTCAACTGATCTTGTTTTGGAAGATTTCAGTTGTACATTTGTGTCCATACAGTATCTGCAACTATTTTTATAGATATTGAACCCACATTTTACATTGTTTTTAGTGTATGAGAAGTGTGTTGCCAATTTGATAAAAACATGAAGGAATTTGGAAAACTAATGAGAATTTAAAAATATATTGCTATAGGTATTGTGTATGGCAAGTACTGTTTCAGGGTAGAGTGAAAGCAGACACTACTGGCTCATGTATAGGAGTACCCCCATAGCTACAGTGTCATTTGTGGATGGAATTACTTACAGTCAAGAAGGAAAAAGTGTACAGAACAAAAATTATTTTGAAAGAGAAAGAGATTGACACAGAGAAACACTATATTCACGTGGCTTTTATTACAATATATTGTTAAAATTATGATGTCATTGTTGTTTCCTTCCTTTCTTCTTTGTCTGGGATTGAACTCGGGACCTAGTTAGGTGCTTTATCACTGAGCTACAACCCCAAGCCAGTGTTTTTGTTAATCTCTTACTGTACCAAATTTATAATTAAGCTCTACCATGGGTATGTATATGTAAGAAAAAACATAGTAAATATTGAGTTCAGCAGCCATTTAAATATATGTTAAATATATTTCCGGTAGATGGGGGCAGGGGCAGGGGAGGGCCTACTGTATTTCCCGTGTTTTACATTTAAATAGTTACATTTAAAATACATTAAAATAATTTTACATTTAAATAGAAAATATTAATGTTACTTATTTACCTTCATTAATCAAGCTTCTTTTCCTAGATTAGCTCTTGTGACATACCCACTAAACTCCATCAGACTCTTAAAATACCCTTTTGTGACCATTATCCTACTCTTAAAATTGCTGAATCTCATTTACATAGAATAAAAGTTTATATCTCAAACTTGTCCCTTCATCTTCTGTCTGTAGCTGAAGCCTTACTCTCTCCTTATGGCACTTCTACAGAAGGTTTCAATAGAGGATGCCGTACTCCTCTGTGCCTATTAGGGAGCAGAAATATGGGAAAGCAGACTTTCGTGTTGCTGACTGCAGCTCTGAATGAATTTCCATCCCTCATCTGTAAAATTCCCCATCTTTGAATCTCACCCTTTCACACTCTAGATTCCAGTAGTGCTTTTGTAGGAATCACCTGCTGGCAAACACATCAAAACTCATTTCCTGTTCATGATCATTGTCTGCAACAGTGTTCTCAAAATTCCTGGTTGTTTCCGTAGCCACTGGTTGAACATTTCCCTAGGTAGGTCTTTAATTTCATTGACAATCAGGTTTCTACCTTACCACCCTTTCACACCTGAAGCAGTGTTCTTCCATGACTCCATTTCACTTCATTGGTTTGAATTTTATGCATCTTGCTCTTTATTTATACATATAATTTCATCCCTCTGTGTCCTTGAAAAATCTCATACCCCACAAGAAATAAAACCAAAAATCAGCTCATGGAATGGCACCAAATTAATGCAAAAACTATTCTTGCAGTATTACCACTGTTAACAGAATTCAACACTCATTTCTCAGCCCTCACTTCTATTAACTTCCCTGCAACATTTGCTACACTCCTTCAGTCCCTCCTAGACAGAGATCTCTTATTGGTTTCTAGGACCCTATACTTTATAATAGTCCTCCTATCTCTTTGACATCTCTTGTGAGAATATATTACCACTTACTTCTAATATCCCAGGCCACTTTATACTATATGTCCAAAATCACTCCTAAATCTAGACATATCTGTCTACCTGATTGGCTTGTATTTTTTGATATCTTATATGTATCTGAAAATTTGCATGCCAAAGCCAACATGTAATTTGCATGCCAAAGCCAACATGTAATTCCCTGACCTCACATCTGTTCCCCCTTAGCATAGCATGTTGGCAACCCACAATGGCAATTCTTATGCAATGTAAAATTGTTCTCTTTTTGGTTCCCATTTTCCTTGGGCAATGTACCTTGTCAGAGAATGATTGTCTAGATTTTAGTAAGAGTTCTTTAACTTGTACTCAACCAGGGTCTTTTAAACCCACATCCCTTCTGCTTATGATTATGGAAAGCCCCGTGGGAAATAATGAATGTATCCAGAATGAAAATATGATTATGGGTCCTGCAGGGAACAGTTGTCGGCCAGCTAAATAAAGACTCTCCAATTCGGACAAAATGGACGTGGTATGTTTTCTGAGCCATCTGTCCCATAGCAATCCCAGCCCTTAGAAACCACTGACATACTTATTGTGGTTGTAAATTTGATTTTCTGATTATTTAATATAAAATGGAATTGTAGCATACTGACTTGTATCTAACTTCTTTCTTAAAAATATAACATTTTTGAGGTTCTATGAGGTATCATATATCATCAGTTTATTCTTATTGTTAAATAATATTCCTTTGTATGGATTTACCACATTCGTCTGTGCATTCCCAATTGATAAATATGTATCATATCCACATTTTGGGTACTACAAATAATGGTCCCATAAACATCAATGTAAAAGACTTTATGTGGGCATAGTTTTTCGTTCCTATTTTGGTGTACACCTAGAATTGAAATTGCTGGGTTTATGTTGAACTCTTAGAAAAATGGAATGTTTCACAAAGTGTCTGCATCATTTTACATTCCCAATAGCAATAGATGAGGTTTCCCATTTTTCAATATGCTCATCAACATTTGTTTTGCCTACTTTATTATAACCATCATAGTGGGTATAAAGTGGTTGCTTATTGTAGCATTGGTTTGCATTTCCCTATTGACAAATAATATTGAGTATCTTCCTGTGTCTTTACTAATCACCTGTATATCTTCATTGATAAAATATCCATTCATATCTTTGTTCATTTTTGACAATGCAGTTTGTTTTACTGTTATGTTAGAGATTTTTATTAGATATGTTCTATAAATATTTTTTACCAAGTTTATTTTCCTGTTTGCTTTTCATTTCACCTTCTTAATTAGGCTTTCTCTGACCATGATGGAACTAGCCATTTAGAACTGGACAACATTTGTTTTGAAAATATTTTATTCATATTTCATATTGACATCTAATATGATAGATCTTATTTAATTAGTTTAATGGCTTTCTCTACTATAAAGTTGATGAAAAAACAATTTTGTCTGTTTTCATTGCTTATAAACTTTCTTTCTAGTGTGTCAATATAATTATTTGTAATTTGAATAAAAATATATTTTAAAAATCATATAAAATAAAAATACTTAAGATAACCATCATTCCCTTTTTTGTTCTGAAATTCTAGCTATTAAGTATTATAATAAAATATGTTAAAAATTTTTTATCGGTATTATGCATTTAAAGAAAATGAAAATTTAAAGTTAAAATTCATAAGGGCATGTTGTTTATCTGTAAAAGGACACCAGCAGTCCATGTAATTTCATTATGCTTTTTATTTTTAAGCTGTTCATAAGTAGATAAAAATTGATCAGTATTCAGTAATGTACACAACACCTATGACCTTTTGCCAACTTTGGAAAATTAGTATTATTGTCTTGTTCTTATCTTGCAGTTAGTTCTACAACTAAATCAATCTTGAGTTTGTTTTTAGCTTCCTGCCTACTTGGGTTTAGAACTAATCTATTACAAGCTGTCTGAGGTTCTTTGTTGGCTCTTAAAGTAATCTTATCCCTAATGCTTTCATACAGTAGCTATTTAATCTTCTTCATAGAGTAGGCAGAATAGCCTTACACTTTACTTTTCTAATAAAATGTTTTTTAGTTAAGAATTTTAATTAAGAGAAGAATTGGGCTATAATTAAAGCACACCTGGAACATATCCATATAATAGTTTAGCTTCTATAAAATTATTCTTGAATTGCTAATTTTTATGTGATGGAAATGAAAATGTACATATTTTAAAACAGGCTTTTAACAAAAAAATGAGAGAAATTGTTTCCATTTCTTAGAAGTTGGAGAAAGTAAATGGAATTTTATTTTTCAAATTGAAATGATTATTTCTGATAAATGTGAGCAAGTCATTTTTAGGAAAATAAAATGAGTAACATATACTTGGCATATTACAAATCTTAAAGTATTGAGCAAAAGCATATGTTTAAATTTGTGGGTGTGGTAAATCATGTATTTTACATACTAAATAGAGAAAAATGTGTGCTGTGATATGTATTTATGTACATCATGTCATAAAATTGGTGAATGTTCAATAAATGTGCAGTTGTCTTAATGTATTAGGATGTTGTTTGTCTAGTATTATAAACAATACAACATTATGGCTGTATGTTAAATATAG